GTGAGCATAGTATAAAGCTTGGCTTGAAACCTCAATCTGTTGGCTACCAAATCTTTGTCCTACAGAGCCTCACTACTCACTCACTACCCAGGACTCAGCCTGATAGTGACAGTTTACCTGGATGTTCCTCACTGGCAGGGCTCAACTATCATTTCTCTCCTGATTATAGAAGACGTTTAACGCATTGCGTGTATCTGAACTGTGCCGTGCGTGAGGAGAGTGCCGGTACTTGAACTCTCAATTGGAAGGGTCTAGTTCATTGAGAAAACTCACTGCCGTTGAGTCAGCCCTGACTCGTGTGGTCCCCTGTGCGTTTCCGAGACTGTAACTGCTTACTGGAGTAGAAAGCCCAGTTTTTCTCCCACAGTGCTGCTGGTGGTGTTGAACTGTCTGCCGACCAACAGCACCCAGGGACAACAACAATCTGGCTTACTAATAAAGGGCTCTAGATAGAGGATGGAAAATCCAGTAATCATAATCATCGTGATCTTGCATGACCACACACAAAATGCAATCTGTAGCAGGAGAAGAAACTTTGGAGATAAAAGGTGCTAGGGTTTGGTAGAAGAATTTTTACTCTGTGTCCCTGAATTCTGCAGCATACACATAACTTAATGCCCTGAAACGGACAGATAACCATGGTGTAAATGTCTCTAGCAGGCTAGTAAAGGGAAGGAGGCTAATCCTTTGGAAAGAGAAATAGCTGTGCTTGAATAAGCCAGTGGCCACATCACTCAATAGAGGAGAGGTCCACAGGTAGCTAGAGCTGAAGGGAACCTTAGAACTGAATAGAATCACATCCTTTTTCTAAGAGATGAAGACAGGGATACTTACCGAAGTGCCTGCCCACAGCTTTATGAATTACTATGCAATTGCCATCAATTAAAGTGTAGCATATGAAACACATATCAAGCATAAACATGAAAATTTAGCCTTCAAGGCAAACAGCCATGTGTTAACTTCATCTGTTATGGAGCTGATGGAGTTGATGGGTGGGGAACATGCCAACACACTGTCCAAACATATGCCTGAGTTCTTGCTACTCAGATTCTATAAAAGGTTTCCGAGTCTGGGTGAATGGGCCAAGTGGTAGACCAGATGCCCAGGGATGAAATAAAATGGGCTTCTTATGGCCATAAACAGTTCCATCTAGAGCGGAATGCTTACAGAATAAGAATGTTCTGAAGGACAGGTGTCCCTTTCAGATGTTTGCAGGGAATGACTTTTTTGTGTGTGTAAGTAGGAGTGGAAGGGATGATCTTATAAGCTTCAAACAGGCCAGATGTGGCCTTGGTACCATCTGCACATGCTCAGATGTTTGTCCATAGCAAATGTTCTAAGATGGTAAGCTCCTGGAGAGGAGGAGCCATCTGTTGCACTAGCTTTGCTTCACTATCACGGAGGGACTTTTCATCAAAAAACAGGGAACTAGGCAAAGTTTCAGAGGGTTGAGATTTTCAAGACTGACGAATTCTTGACTGATGTGTAGAGACTGATTTAATCAGGGAGGTAGAACAAGCTGCCCATACGTGCATGTTCCTTCCAATCCTTCTCCAGGGAAAGCATGGCTCATCTGAAGTTGTTCCCGTGTATGGACATAAAAAGAATCTAAATATTCAGCTCAAAAAAATTGTGAGCGATGGTGAGAATTTTTCTGAAGACTGGATGGCAGGTGTCAAGAGGGAATGTTGAGGGTTCTCATTCCTTGAAGTAGGGATCTAATTGAAAGGTTGTTTTTTTTTATTTCCAGGCAAACTCAATTGCCTCCATGAGAATGTCAGCCCTGTACATGGGTTTCTCAGAAAGATGAAAGAATAGCTTCCCACAGGAATCTTTCAGGCAGTTAAGAGCCCCTGCAAGGAAGCGGGTGATGCTGGCATCATTGTACATGGAGAATAGAATTAAACCATATAGTCGTTAATGACTCCATCCAGCCCAACAAAAAGAATACTTTAGCAGCCTGCTCAGCAGATCCATTAGTAGGAATCCTGGCTGTTGCCATTACTTTGATTTCCCCCAGAACTTTGGCCAGGGAAATGCCATTCATCTGAGCCTCTTCTATCCACAGCACTTCCTGCGCCATAAGTATAGTGATAAGACTTGAGTCAGGCTGTTGTCTATGTAGAAAGGGGGCATTATTTCTTTAGATGGAAATAATCAAAGACCATTTCTTAGCCATGATGGCAGCAGCTCTCTCTGAAAACAAAGACAAACTCTAGAATAAAGCCTTCTACTTATGCAGCCTTCTTTAACTTCTCCAAAACTCCAGCCAACCTTGAGGGGATACCCTCCTGGCCCCCAAAACAAACAAACAATGGACTTGTGCTAGGCAGAGCAGAGCTTTATAGTATGTGTTTTCCCCACTAGGCGAGCATCAAGCAACTTGCTCTGAGTTAGTGTACACAGTGGCATCATCTGGGAAGGTTCTCTCTAGTCACAGTGAATTTTTTTATAAAAGCAGTTTCGCTCAAACCTTGTTTTTTCTGATGGCCAATCTAAGAGAACAGCATGTGGCTGTGAAATTTTGTTTCCTGCTTGGAAAAATGCCACAGAAACTGTTGTGATGTTAAACACAGCTTACACGGAGAGCACTACGGGAAAAACCCAAGTGTATCAGTGGTTTTCTCATTTCCAAAAAGGTGAAATGTTGATTGATGACAAACCTTGTTCTGGACATCCCTCAACTTCCCAAATGGAGGAAAACGTTGACGCATCGTGCATTTGGAGTACATTCCACCAGGTTAGACTGTTAATCAAGCTTTCTATTCAGAGGTTCTGAAAAGATTGTGTACCAGTGTGCAACAAAGAAGGCCCGATTTGTGGCAGATGTCGGCCTGGTTTTGCCACCACGACCATGCATCTGCTCATGCAGCTAGCTCAGTGTACCACATTTTGGCAAAAAAATATCATGCCTCTCTTTCCCTGACTCACCTAATCTTCTTTTTGCTTCCACAAACGAAGAGGGACATGAAAGGATAGCGATTTGATCATGTAGAAGAGGTGAAGGAAAAAAATTGAGAGATGCTGTCAGCCATCCAAATAGATGAGTCTGAAAAATGTTTTCAGAAATGGAATCGCAGATTTGACAAATGTATTAAGTGTAATGGAGAGTACTTTGAAGGTGAGGAGGTTGTCTTGTCAAGAAAATTTTAAATAAATAGTTTTGGGAAAAAAGTTGGGGTTTTTTTGAGGGGGGGATGTGTGGCTACCTTCTCATATTCTGAAATGTGGCAGAGTTTTTGGCCCATAGAGAGTACCCAATGTTATGAAGCCTATTTTGTTTCCCAAACTAAACATCTAAGCTTTGGGAAGGCAAGAGCCATTTCATACTTTTTTTCCCCCTTTATTTATTTGCATACAAGTCTTATGCAAAGGCTGAAAGCAAAATACCAGCGCTTGACAGTGCTTGGGCTGTAGTTTTGTTTTGAGAAAGTTCTTTTGTGTACAATGCTCATCCTTAAAAAACTCAAACCCTCACATGCATGGAGTAAATTCGGACTCAGAGTGATTGCAGAGGACAGGGTGGGTTGTCCCTGTGGCTTTCTGAGACTGTAACTGCTTATGGGAGTAGAAAGCCTTATCTTTCTCCCACAGAGAGGCTGGCACTTTTGAACTGCTGACCTTGCAGATAGCAGCCCAATGCATAACTTACTGCTATGTCACCAGGGCTAGTCCATTTGTCTTAGCATCTATCTTAGTCCATCTTATCCTTTAAGACCTGGCCAAAGGGCTCACTCTCTACTAGCAAAACAATTCCAACTCAATGCGACCCTGTGGACTTCTGAGACTGCACCTCTTTACAGGAGTAGAAAGTCTTGTCTTTCTCCCTGGAAGTTTCGAACTGCTGTTAGTAGCCCAATGCACAACCACTATGCCCACCAGGGCTCCTTGATCAAAAGATCGAGCTACATTACTAACATTGCTCTTAGTAATGTAGTTTCAGTGTCTGGCCCTCTGGTCCTTAAAGAATAGTCCATTGGTCACTAAATATTCTTATATAAATTCCTTTGCACTGCTTTAAAAAAAACCAGAGTGGATTCTAATATCTGCATCTAAGAACCTTGGCCAATAACACCACCCAATATATTTGGAAAGAAAGGGACCAAAGAGTTTATTTAAGGACTAATCAAAACCGTTAATATCATGTAGATAGTGAATCTCTAACAAGGAGATGCAGTGAGTGGTACTATCTTTACCTAACTCAAAGGGGACTATTAACTGAATTTCAAAATAATCAATATTATAAGGTGTTTACCAAGAACCCTAGCCCTGAAATAAATGGTCCACCTGGCCCTTCTTATCTAAACTAGCGCCCCCGCAGTATTCGTCCTGACCATCTTGCTGTTCCCTGGCTCACTGGGGTTGCGCTGGCCAAACACAGGCCCTAAAATAAAGTCTTATTTAAAACCAAAAAGTAGTTGAAAGGAAAGACAGGGGGGCAGCATTTTCTTTCCATTCTATTGGTAGCATTTCACTCACTCCACCCTTTTCTCTTAGCCCAGTGCATGAGTCATTGTGTATTTTTATGACAGTCTCAATACAAAAATCTGATGAGATGGGGTAAAACAATGAGGAATGGAGGAGGATCCACATGGAAACAATACATTTATCAACAATGCATCCATCCCCTCTTAAAGTTGTATAAGCTAGTTTAGTCTCAGAGGATTTTCTAAACAAGTTCATGATCTTTAATATTCAGCTACCTACTATTTTGCCAGCTCCCCTTTCATGTATTCACTGGGAAGACAAATGATATTGTAAATACTCACACTGAGGTCAGAGAGAATCTGACACCGAGCTCTGGCCCTTACTAGGTTTGCACACTTACAGAAGTGGTTCACCTTTCTGAGCCTTAAATATTGCCAATCCCACTGATACCTAAGAACTACAGGAGGTTGCCTTGCCCGATAAGGAAAATAATTGGCAAGTGGACAGAAAAGTGAGTAACTGAGCTATCTTAGAAGAGGAGAGGCTGTTGAATGCCAGAGTGCACTACGTACGGGACTCCAATCTCAAAGATGTTGTTCTGGATCAGCTGCTTCCCCAACATGATGATGCTGAGTTGAATGCAGAGCTCCATCAGGCAGCCCCCTGGAGCACACTGAGGGAGGAAAGAAGAGGCTGTTGGACCAAGTGGAGCTGAGAGCAGCAAACGTGCAAACTCAGCCAGGTTGGGGATCAGGAAGAGGATGGAAGGGTGCACCTACAAACTACTAGCCAAGCATGAAATGCCAATGATTGGACTTGCCTCTTCCATTCGGTAACCATCGAACACATAGACATAGCTCCCAGGCCTGCCCACAAACCTGAAACAAAGAAGTGTAGGAAGAGTTAGGGAAAGAGAGAGAATGTCTGAACTGCTTGAAAGCGTACATCCTGGGTGGGCTAGCCATCCCCTTACCCCGTATGTCCTCCTCGGCAGCACTGGGCAGAATGGGTGTCAAATCACCCAGGGTAGGAGTTCACAGTCGGACACTGAATCACCTTTACCACTTAGGGTTCACCTCTTTACCTGGTCAAACTCCAGGCTGTTGGGGCTGAGTGGGGCAAGGTTAGAGGCTGGGTTTGGTGGGGAACTGGACAGGACACATGTGCACATATATGTGCATGCACAGGTATGCAGTATGATGACCTCTGAACCTAAATGCAAGGACGTTTGAATTTCCATAACTGTACTGTCTGTGCATCTCTTTCCTTCAATGTGTCAGGACTGAGTTCTGATCAAAACTCCTGAGTGAAGACTTCTGGTTTCCCAGGAAACAGCAAGCTAGAGTTGACTGGGGTTGAGAAGACCCCTGGCATCAGTAAATAAGAAGTCTTCACTTCTTACTGGAAACGTTCAACGGAATGAAAGAAGACCACCACACTTCTCTTCTGAGGAGAATTTATTCAGGATAAGAAGAGTGAGCAGGTGGGGAGAGGAAAGAGTTAAAAAATAATCATAGAACCAGCCAAGGAGCCAGGAGGGCTCTACTTTCTTGATGGGTCACCCCCTTGAAATATACCCATCAATTTGATTCTCAGCTTAAGCTCTCCTTCTCTGTGAAGTGCTCTTACTGTCTGTTCATGATTTAGTGGCCCCTAACATTTTATTTACAGGCCTTATCATAGCACTTATTACAGCTTATATCATGCTATTTCCAAGACTACTTCTTCCAACTTGCCACCCCTTTCTCTACAGGTTAGGACCCTGGTTCTTGCTTGGAACATCATAGGTGTATGTTCACAAGTTGCTATTGACATAGTACCTTGATAGAAAACACCAGTGAGCTATATACTCTCTGCTACTGAGACAGTCTAGCTATTATTTCAGTAGAGCCAAGGGCAGAGGTTCTGGGAAGGCGAGAAGTTTGTTGGGTCACAAACAGAGCTACAAGAAATGATCAAGTGTGGACTCTGATAGCCCTTGCTGTCTGTCTGAAATCTCTTAGTTCTAGGAAAGCTTTCCTGGTATAATTAGCTGATGTTTCCTGGAACCTGTCCTATCAGGTAGCCAACTAATCTCACCATAAAGGACACTTATCAGAAATGAATTTGCATCCAGACAGGAGAGCCACTGGTAAAGCATGAAATTCCCTCCTGTCTCATTAACAAAACTGGGAGACACAAATTCTTCTCAGACTCCACCTCAGGGCCCAGAACCAAATCCCCATACAGTTTCCCTGGGTGTCAAATCTGGAGGCGTTAATTCAAAATTATTTTGTGCTAACACTTCTGCTGGGGTGAGTATCAGGTGATTAAAAACCTGGGGCAGGGAACTGAGGATGTGAGTTGGGGCGACCCTACTTGTCTAGGCAGTGAAGGGCCCAGGCTCAGGGCCAAATTGGCTTTCCAAATATAATGTCGTAATACTCACCTCCCTTTGAAAAAGGCCACATAGAAGATGGGGGAGTAGGCATTGACAAACTTCAGCAAGAACGCTTTGAGTATCAGGCGCTCCTCAAAAGCCTGTTCTGTTTTGGGAACCTCTGTAAGACAAGAGCAAAGCTGATGAGGCTGAGAGATCAATGTCTCACTTCTCTAGATTTGGGACCCTGTGACATGAATGACCATCCCCCACCTGACTCAGTCAGAGCAGGGAACCAAGAGATCATCTCTCTGGTCCATTAGATTTGAAGTCACCTGGAAGCCCCCCCACCCCCAACTAGTATAGTGGGCCTTACACATTAGGCTGCTAAACACAAAGGCAGCAGTTCAAAACCACCTTCCAACCTGTGGGATAGAGGTGATACTTTCTGCTCCCATAAAGATCTACAGCCTAGGAACCCCACGAAGGCCATTGTATTCTGTCCTGTATGGGTGCTGTGAGTATGAATCAATTCAATGGCAGTGAATTCGGATTTTGGTTTTGTTTTTGTTTTTAAGAGACTACAAATGGCCAAGAGTGAAGCTTAGTCCTTACAATTCCCTCCTCTGTCCACTTGGGGAGGGAGCACTGGTAGCATAGTGGTTCTCAACCTTCCTCACACCGCGACCCTTTCATATGGTTCCTCATGTGGTGGTGACACCCCAACTGTAACATTATTTTCGTGGCTACTTCATCATTGTCATTTTGCTACTGTTATAAATGGGGCGACCCATGTGAAAGGCCTTTTGACCCCCAAAGGGGCCGCAACCCACCGGTTGAGAACTGCTGTTCTAGGAAGTTAAGGCTGTCCTACACGAATTTCACTGGCAAACCTTATCCTAGCCACCCTACAGCCCTGCTCTTGCCCCAAACTCGAAGGACATCAAACAGCGGGACTTGAGCGGATATGCTGTTTTGATGCTGAGCAAGTCTCCGTGGAGCGGGGAGCCTATGATGGATGAGGAAGACAGGGCTATTCTACTTTCCAAAAATCCACCCACAAAAGCCACATGGATCACCAATGATGGAAAAGGGGATGGTGAAGGACCAGGCAGCATTTCCTTCTACCGCATATGGGGTCCCCATGAATCAGGGGCCCCCACTCCACAGTAGCTAAGAACAAGTGCCATCACTTAGGGCAGCCATCGCAGACAAATCACCGCCCCACTCCCAACAGCAGATTGGGGCCTTCTGGAGTGAGGTGTCGGTGGGCACGTCCAGCCTCGCGGGGTTCAGAGGGTCATTTCCTTATTGACAACCAACCATCTTCTACTAGTCAATGGTGTGCATGGCTAGCAGGTGCCCTTGCTGGCACACAGCTCAGGCAGTTTCGTCATGACAGCCCTTGTCCCAACCCCCCAGGAAATCCACAGCCCAAGCGTCTGGAGTTGTTCCAGGTGAGTTTGGCAGCATCATTGCGTTCTAGGGAATCTGGAGACATCATTGGAACTCTATGGAAAAGCCTACAATGACCTCCCTCAGCTGGTAGAGGGCTTTGTGGGTTTTCCTCCCTCTCTGGCACACATGGGGAAGGGTACACACACACACACACACACACACACATGCACACACACACACACACCCATGAGATCAAGGACCTAGGCAACCTCAGACTAGGGTAGAGCCCACTTCTACAGCGTTGTTTCTCAAGATGACCGACGTATAGCAGGTGGTACTCACCATTTATGGTTCGCCCGGCTCTTTGAGCTACTTGTTCTTCACTTTATTTGTGTTAGCTAAAGGCCCATAGCGCTTCAACCTCTAATGCCTCTCCCCTCCCTGCTACAGATCTTGCCCCAACAAAGAAGGCAGTGTCCCTTCCTCTCAGAGTGATTTACACCTACCAGGACCTCACTGGGCTGAGGATTCCACATCCCCTTCTTGCACCTGAGCCTTATTCCCCTTGACTAAAGAAAATGACTCTGAGGTCCCAGTGGCAAAGCCTGCCATTGATTTCTAAGGGCACTTTCAGTTTTAAGATCTCAAGAGAACTCTGAACCCACATCTCACTCTTCATCTTATCACTTCCCGTGCCCCAACACTTGCCTTGCTCCTCTCCTGTACAATTTGGATGGGTGTTTTGAGGACAAGCACACCAGAAAAACGCATCCAGGCAGATCCCAACCATTGACAGATGCACACCACTCTGCAAATGTATTCGGTGAATGAAGGAATAACAGGAAATGATACCATTTGGACCAGTGAAAAAATACGAATGTACTAATCACTTCCTGTCATTTTACAAGGAAGACAAATCCTAAGCAGGGACCTTTGTTTGTCGAACAGGATTCTGGGTGAGAAGACAGAGAGGAGTAGTCGAAAGAGAGTACAATTCCCTGACCTAAGATAAGGAGGGATATTGGAATGAGACAGAGGATCTAGGAAAGGCTGGAGCCAGGTGGGGGCATCAGGAGAAGGATTAGAAGTAGCAGGCATTGCAGAGGGAGAGATCAAGACACTGAGTAGAAATCTCCCCAGCATCTGCTGGGCATCGCAGCAGGACCTCTCTCTGCCTTCCACAGACTCTCCAGTAAATATACAAGACCTGCTTTTCTTTCTTTCTTTCTTGTTTTAAATAAATGCTTGAAGAATCCCGGATATGCTCTTGGGGGGAAGGCTGAAGGTTACTTCAAGATGAACCCAAGGTCAAGAACTGAATGCCTTATGCCTGGATTGCAAAGGAGCGAGATTAAGATAGAAGAAAATGGAGAGGTAGGAGGGAGCGGGAAAAGGATAGAAAGAATGAGAATAAGAGCAAAATAGAAAGAAAGCAGAGGGAAGAAAGGAAACAATGGAGGAAGACCGAGAACGTGTCCAGCAGAATCCAGGCCTCTACAGTGTGCCTGGGGCATCCAAAGCAATGGTAACTTCACTACATTTTGTCTGTGACCTTTGAATGTCTTTGGATTAGAAAACAGGCATCAACAAGAATGCCTTCTAAAAAAACCATTCAGTCAGGTTTGAGAGTCTGGAAATTGGGAAAACTCACCCCATCAGTGATGCTGGAAGGGGATGAAGGGGGACGTTTGGGTGGCATGTGTCTTTGGTTTACTTCTATAGTCCCCTTTGAACTGTGTGTCCTCAAATCTCCCAAGCCCTACGGGAATTTCCTCCAAGTTCTCTGGAGAGGGAGTCTGGTCCTTTCAGAGCTCTCTGCTCCCAGTGGAAATGAACGGTTCCTTTCCTCTTTACTGATTAAATCATGGGTCTGTGTTTTATTTATTAGTTTTGTTTCTAAAAATGGCTCTGTGCTTGTGCTTCTAGGGCCATGCGCCGCCATAAATCATGGGCACTTCCAATAAACAATCCAAATCCACTTGCTAGGCCACTCAATCAGCTGGAGATGCTCTGTGGGCCTCCTGTGCATGTGCTGTGGAGCCTTCTGGAGAAGGAGGGCCCTGGGGAACAACTCCACGGAAGGGAGACAAGGTGGGAGTGGGCGAGGGAGAGACATGGGAGTGTGTGAGCGAGGCACCGGGAGCCTGAAGGAAGGATGAACTCCAAAGCCCTGGGGCTCGTTTGCCTGGTTTGGTTCATGTGGCACGACTCCTAGAACTGAGAAGATGGGACAGGCTCCTTCTAGTTCTTCAGAGCCCACTTGGTTCATTTGAGGCAATCTGCATTTCAGACCACAAGGAAGGGTATTCTCACAAGACACATACCTGGAGAGTCATCTGAATCTGATCCCTAAGCAGGAAATAGCCCAGGCCTGTGCTTCACAAGATTCCACCTGAATTACCTTGACATGTCAATTGCTATTGGGATGCAAAGAAGAACAGACTTGGAGAAAAGAGGAAGTCCGGCAGCTCCTCTCTAATCAGATGCTCCCATAATCCCACCGTTCACAGCAAGCTTCCCCAGCTTAATGAGAGGGCAATTGCCGGTTTCTCACACTCCCAATCCATTGGAGAAGATTTTCACCTGAGAGTAGACCCCATCTCTGGTCAGAAAAGACTATCAAATAAAGCTCCTATGCAGAGCGATCACCCACCCAGCCTTTTCTTTCCAAGTGCATTGGGAAGCAGGTTTGGAAGACAGCGGTTGAAGGGCTCCGCTGCTAACTGTAGGATCCTGGGAGAAACACACGGGGCAGTCTGCTTCCGTGAAGATTTACAGGCCAGAAACCCTGTGGGGCAATTCTCCTGTGTCCTGTAAGGTCACGATGAGATGGAATCGACTTGAGGGCAGTGGGGTTCATGTGTCATGAAAAAATATGCGAGCAAAGGATCCGGCTGTAAACTGCCTTGAAAAATAATTAGTGTGAAAGCCTGAGTTAGTCCCAGGGGGCCAGCTTAGGACCGAGTCCCCAGAGCTCTCGCCCTAATCGAATGGAAGGCCCACGGCTGGCAAGAGGATGCTAGCTGCAGAATCTGGATTTTGGAGTGGCAGGTCCTCTTAACTGATTACCACCCCACCCACCCCCCAAAAATCCTGCCAGTAGCTACATAAAGATGGTGACAAGACAAGGGGACAATGGGAGATGGGCATGTGTGCCTTTTCACTAGCACCACCAGTGAAGGGCCCCTCAGGCAAAGGCACAGGAGCCCGAACCTGTGCCACTGAGGCAGTGGGCAGAGGTGGCCCTCCCTGCCTCTCCTCGAGTCTTTGCACACAGCAATGTTTTCTGACAGTCCAACCATCTGGTCTTCCCTCTATTTGCGTGTGGGAGTGTGGGTGAGGGGACCGGCAGCTTGGCCTCCCCTCCTTCCATGCGATGTTGTTGCCTTGTTTGTGCCATGGGGAGGAAATCACCAGCCAGCTGTGGAATGAGGCACCCAGTGTACCACTGCCTGAGGGCGCTGGGAGTGCCAGAAGTACAGATCATGGGTGAGGGTGTCTGCGATACTCCTGTGGCCCCGTGGCTTAGTAGCAAAGACACACCACCCTGCGGGCCTGGAAGATAACTGTTGTCTCTAGGAAAGAGGACCTGAGTCTTGACTGTGTTGGATAAGGATCTTGCTCATGGTACTAGGATCTTGGAGCACCCTATTTTAAAGGGAGGGAAAAACAACAACCAAACCTCTATCCAGGAAGGGCCAACTGGCAAGAAGGAGAGACAGAGAGCGAGTGTGAACGTGAAAGCCCCAAGCTGTTGCTGCCAATCCATCATGAGAACCCC